AAATTTTAGTGTTTTTTGTTGTTTTTACCTGGTTTGATAGTTTACGATTTATATAGAAATATAGAATATCACTAATCAGGTTTACACTTGATCCGTGTCCGCTATCATGTCGATTTAAAGCGATTATTATTTCAAATATTCAAAAATTTGAAGAAAGCAAAGCAAACGTATGTGTGGCTCTGAATCTCTTACCTATTGTTTTTATATGATAGAATAAAATATATAATCTCAAATGAGTATTCAAACCACTATTGTAAGATGGAAAAGCATGATATATATGGATGGGACTCTACGGTTATGAAATAGTCACATTTTTGGTTTTTTTTACTATTTCTCTTTTATGTAATGTTCTTAACTTAACAAAAACAAATCTGATAATTTCTTTATCTAAATCGAATTAAAAACAACATGAAACTGGTACGAATTTTTCAAATTATGAATTAAATACTATTATTTAAAAATATGTTTACAAACTTAACTTTTCATGTATGTAATATATTGAAATCAACCCCGCACGCACGTATGTAATACAAACTTTTGAAATCAACCCCGCACGTACGTGCGGGTCCATCCCTAGTTTATTATTACAATATTAACCATCCAAAATTCATCCGATCCCGATATACAAAAGGATTGAACATTATTTTTTAATAAAAATTGTCATTTAGTAACGGAATATTTGAATTAATTTATTTACTAATTTTTTATGGTTCTATTTTAAAATTGTATCCGTCGCAAACACATCTAAGAACAGTAACTCAATATGAGTAAAATACAAAATTCGAATAACATTTTATCTTTTCTAACCACACATATTATAATATCTCATCTCCTAAATTCCTTCTTTTTTTTTTGTCAAACTCATCCCCTAAATTAATTTTTTGCAAGTAAGTGGCTTCTCTTTCTATAAATCGTGTTGTGCCTATTGCCAAATTTAAACCCATTTAAATTGATTTATTTGTTCAATATTATTTATTTATTTGTTCAATATTATTTATTTATTTATTGCCAAAGTTGTATTAAGAATCATGCTCCATTCATCATTGATGATGATCGAAGCGTACGAGTAAGGCATATATGCTTGATTAGCAGCTTATAAAGTTCATTTCAAATATGTAATATTCATCGTATTATTAATTTAATATATAGTTTATGAGATAACGAAAGACAAAAATAAATTCTTAGCAATTATAAGCACAGATGCATGTCTTGCTCGTAGTATCATAACACACGCCGATTCCGTTATACCTCATGGTACAGTCATGTGCACACACCAAGCTTTCGCAGTTTTCCTCCGGTGTTACTATATATTCATAACACTTTTTTGCTTGCGTTTCCTTTGTAACCATCCCTAATAATATAGAAAAAAATTTAAACATAATCTCATGATCAGTTTCTTCTTGTTAATAGAAAAATTAAAAGGTGTTTGAACAAAATCTACTATGAATAAAAGAGAAGAAACGTGATAAAAATATGTCGCAAACCTAAAACGAGGATGACCATGAAAATAGCAAGAGTAATGGCTTTAGACATTTTTGATAATACAGTAGGAATGAAATTATCAAAATATAAAATGACAATGAGTGTAATTATGATCATCTACACGTGAATGTCAATTATATATATAAGCCTATTAAAAGATACCACAAAATCTAAAAATAGTCAAAAATCAACGAGTAACTAAATAGATGTTGTAAGCAGACGAAGATATAATCAAACAGATAAGCGAAAATATCTAGAAATTAACTAAAAGTGGAAACTTTGACCCAAGAAAAAAATAAAAAATAATACTACAAGTGGAAACTTTGAACCCCAAAAAAAAAAAAAATTTAAGTCAAACATATAAAATCATGAAAAAGAAAGAGATCATATTGTGTGATTATATAACATTCTAATGAAGCGTGTGGGTTATGTTAAAAGTCCGACGAGAACAGAGACTAACAACGTCCACAAACTTGTTATTGATAAACTTAGAAATAACTTAGAAAATGTAAAAAAAAATTGTTTTATTATTGATAAACAGAAAGCGAAAATCCTAACAAATGCTACTTACTTGATTTCATACGACAAAAGTACATATGTCAATGCTTAGGAGTTAGACTTGATAAGAAGAAAAAAAAAAAAGGAAAAGTAAAGAGACAATTTCAATGAAAAAACACACGAGCTAATTAATTAAATTAATAAATAAGATTTGAAATAGTAATTGTAAAGGAAGAAAATAAACGAGTTGTTTCGTAGCTGTGGGAACCCCGCGGCTTTATGTAGTATTATATATTAAAAACTTACGATTACGAATTACGATTACAGAATAAACCCGCGGCTTTACATATTTGAAATGAACTATACGATGAATACATAAACTATATATTACATTTTCTAAGTTTCGCTTTCTGTAGGAGATGATTTTTTTTTGCTGTTCAGTCTTTGTGAATGTGATGAGCTTAATCGTCAACGTACACCATTACCTTAAAACCTGTTTATTGTTTGAACATTACAGAGGAATGAGAGACGCGGCGGCAATTCTTGTCTTTTTTGGGTAAAATGTTTGTAAGTGACCAAAGGACTAATGATAAGATTATTCTCTACAGCTTAATTTTATGAACTCACTTTTGAAATCGTAATTAACCCAAAAAAGGCGTATGGATTTAGTATAACCAATTTAAATCAGAATGCACATCAAATATATATAAAACTATAAAGCCAGCAATACTGAATTTTTTTTTCCAAACTCGTTGCTTTATTGATTATTATTATTACTTTTTTTTTTTTTGTAAACCAACATTGAACCAAATCAAAACAGAGTATTACCCTCAAACAGGGGAAGAACAACACGACACAAGACCAGCTTTTGCCAATGCATCAGCTTCTGAGTTCAAAGAACGAGGAATAAAAAGAAAGGAGATCGAAATAAACTTAGAACACAGGAATTTGATATCCTCCAACAAGCCGTCAAGCTCATTTGCGTGGCCACCGGAATTGAGGAGACGGATGAGGTCTTGACAATCCGAGAAGCAGGCCAGTCTTGTTGCACCCAAAGCTAAGGCCGCACTAATGGCCACCTTCAAAGCTAACGTCTCTGCTACTAGAACAGAGGACACATGGGTTCGAAAAGAGGAACCTTGCTGGAGTAAGTCATTGCCCGGTGACTTAATACTCCAGCCCATACCACATCGCAAAGTCGCTTCCTTCCAGGCCGCATCTGAGAAGCAGCGGATCGCTTCAGGATGAACGTCTCTCTCTGCCGGGTTATGAGCTCCTTGTTTACGCTTCTGAGGTTGAGACCACTTCGCTTGCTGCCAAGCTTTATTACTATATACTTGTTTTATGCTTGATGGATAACAAAGAGAACAAATCATTGTTTGCAAATAAATGTGCAGATGCAGGTAAAAATTTATCCGGTTTCAGAACAACCGCCTTCTCCGGCGGTAAACTTTGAAGCACACTCAGCATTACACGGCAAAGCCTCACATCCTTCGGTTGGTGTTACAATAGTTTTTTGACACACTTTCTCTCCTTCTCCTACTCCTTTTGTTTCCTTTGTCACCACTCACCATCCCTAACAATATTCCAAACATTCTTTTTTTTTTTTTAATTGTGAAATTAGAAGAGAAAAACACGTGAAAGATAAGTTAATATATATGTGTTTATAGTGTTACCTAGAACGAGGACGACTATGAAAAGAGCAAGTTCATTTCAGATAATACAAAATAGAAATGAAAATAATATTAACAACTTAGCAACTCACATCTAATAATATTATATGATACATGAATCAAAAACACATTTAAAAATCAATAAATAATTAATTACATATAGATTCTGAAACATAAAGAAGAAAAATCATAGAAAATATATACAGTAAAGAGATTTACTAACTTGTTAAGAAAAAAAAATCTCAATAAAAATTCTTTAACTAGTTTTTTTTATATGCAGCAATGTTCAATTTTCTGTTATTTTACGATTCTAAATATTTGCTATAAGAGCATGATTATCAATGGAAGCTTAAAAAAATCTTAAGGTAAGAGAAGTTTAAAAAAGTTAAGAAAAGTTAATAAATGTATCTTATGTAAGAGATATTTAATAATTTTTTTTAGTTTTTTTCATTTTTCTTAACTTTTTTTAGGGTAAAGTTTGTTTAAGAGACCCTTCTTATGTAAGCAACTTAGTTACAAATATCAAACAATAGAAATGACTGTCATCTACTTATTATTAGTTGATTGTAGGGTGATTTGATTTCCTTATAAGTTGTAACGATGAATTAGTCATAGATGGTGTAAACATGAAACTAATGGCTTTGAAGGCTTCGAAAGCCAAAATGGCCGATACTATTTTTAAAATAAAAGTCGGCCGTAAAGAGAGACTAAAAGCCCATCGGCGCCCACAAACTTTTACCAAAATCATATGGTTTTGACACCCACAGACACACACAGACACACACAATATAAAAAATGAAATTGGTCCACGCATCGAACGTGGCGTACGCAGCACAGCACAACTTTGTTGTTTAATGTTGTATATATGTGGAAGTCTTATCTGCTCTAAAACTAGCGCACCAATCTGACGAACAAATCCCATCTCTTTTTTCTTTTTTTTTTGTGGGTACACAACCACTTGTAATTTCTTATCTCTGTGAACTAGTAGACCTTAGAAGTAGTTTAACAACATTTTAATTTATAAGGATTGAATTTTATAGATTATCCACTCCCAAAGAAGATGACAAATCATTCTCAAAAATTATTACAAAACTGTCACTAGTAAATATTTGGATTGTTAATTTTATTTGCGAATTTAATCTTATTACTACTCCATAAATATCTTATTATATAAATTAGTGTCCGCCGACCACCACCGCGGCAAGCCACAGTTACAAACAATAGTAACCCATAAATGACTAAAATACAAAATAGCATATGCAATTCTTTTTCTCTTCTTCTTCTTCTTCTTTAACAAACTAACACACAGCGAACAACCAGTTCTGAGATATTCATCCATATCAGAAAACCAAAAAACTTTTATTTTATTTTATTTTCAACCATGAAAAAAAAAAAAATCAGTTTTGTTTTTGTTTCTTGACTGTACAAATCACACAACTTTGTTAGTTTGTTTCCGCAAATTTCCAAATTGGGAAAATCAAACGGAACAAAAGACCGAAGAATGAATGGAATATGAATATTTGCAAAAGCCCCCAAAACCAAAAACTTTCAAAACGGCCGTTGTTGATACACATTCCAAACCGGAACTCCGGTGACAATCCGACCACCATATCCATCAATCGACGGCGTCTCCGATCTCGGTCTCCACATACCAATATCCGTCGCTTGCGACGAACACGACCCGTAATCCCTCACCGCCGTCGTTGTTGCGGTGGTGGTGGGATCCGATTTAACAAGGATCGAAACGTTGACGATCCCACACTTATCGCCAAACTCATCTCTCAATCTATAGCTCAAACAGTTCAAATGACCTTCAGGCGAGTACCTTCCCATGAAATCACTCTTTGGGATTTTAGCTTCTCCGAGTTTTTTGTCGTGCCCAGAACGTGTTCGATAGAATACCTCAACGAAGATAAACTGTACACTAGCATTGATGGGTATCTCCGATTTAAAGTTCCATGTTGGGTTGCTTACTCTAGACTCGTCAAGATTAGAATTTCTGGATTTCTCGTCGATCCTCACGACGGCGAAAGTCTTTTTCTTGAGCGCTTTGCGGTTTAGCTTGAGCCCTTCTGCTGATCGTAGATGAATCTCCAATGTTTTTGTCATTGACGTTGTTGTACTATAGTGATGATCTATTGATCTACCAAAATAAATCATTTGGGTGTTTTTTTTTTGGTATTGTATGGATGGATGGGGTTACTGTATTTTTTAGTTTTATTTTTATCGATCTAATCATTAACTAGAATGAAAGGCCATGCGTATATATATAGACAAATATTATTCACATCACGACGAAGCTGCTGAGAGGGAAGTTAGGAGAGAAGACTCGTGGAGTTTTCTTCTCTTTTTCCGGCTATACCACATGTCGACCAAACAAACAAAAAAAGAAAAAGATTTCAAAATATTTATTACATCTGTAATTTGTTCCCTATTTAAAAATAAAATTAAAGTCAAAATTCAGATTTTTAAAATTATCGAGATAGGTACTTAAATAATAGCGTGTGATTATGACTTGTCGAATCTTTGATAACTTTTAATGTATGTTGTCGTAAAGAACGTGGCACAAGCCACCGGACCAGCTGAATCCAGCAGCGTGATAAACGCGGTTTCGAACGGTCGTTTCGTTTTTTTGTATTATTTATAAAGCCGCGGGTTCCCACAGCTACGAAACAACTCGTTTATTTTCTTCCTTTACAATTACTTTTTTCAAATCTTATTTATTAATTTAATTAATTAGCTCGTGTGTTTTTTCATTGAAATTGTCTCTTTACTTTTCCTTTTTTTTCTTCTTCTTCTCAAGTCTAACTCCTAAGCATTTACATATGTACTTTTGTCGTATGAAATCAAGTAAGTAGCATTTTTTAGGATTTTCGCTTTCTGTTTATCAATAATAAAACAATTTTTTTTTTACATTTTCTAAGTTATTTCCTCTCTCTTTTTTTTTTCCTAAGCACAAAGTATGTGTTTTTCTATAAAACCGACAATTTTTTTTCTTAATGTTAAAAAGGTTAACTTGTGAGAACAACAACAATATACAGTATGTGGAAATTCCCTTCGCAGATTAAACGTTTATTTGAATGGAAATTATAGTTAGCTATTACACCAAGTTGAACAAGAATTATTCAACTCATTTGAATATTTTTTTCTTACGACTTTTAAGTAAATAGAATTAACATTTGTTTACTAACTTAGAAGGTTAGAATTGTATACTCTGAAATTCAAATTCCTATAAGACTATTAATGTGAAAATATTTATCTTCAAAATAGAGTGAAGTTAGAGAACAAATACTGTACCTAAAGATCTTTTATATATGGTTTGTTATGATGATTATGTAATATCATCATGTTTGCACATAAACTAATAAGTCGCCAACACGTTAAATGTATATACTGGATATGTACGTATTTTTATCAAAACATCATTTACTAGTGTTAGATCGTTCGTAATTAAATTTGTATTTAAATCCAATTTGTGTATCAAATTAGACACTATATGCCATATGAGTGTTGTGCAACTTGCCTATATATCCGTAAATGAATAATAACGCTTTTTTTTTACTAATAAAACTTTTGTATCAATTCGGGATTAGATTGGCATATTGAAACGACAACCTATACATTTAAATTCACTTTGTTTTTTCTCTTTTTCCCTAACGCGCAATCTTTAATTATTATTGTTCTCAGCTCTCTAGAACTGTAGTTTAGTGGGATGTGAATACATGCAAGGTGGACATGGGAGAATCTGCTAGCGGGTGGAAGCCTTCTCACGGAATATGACAAGGCAAAACTTCTTGCCACAGCAAATTGAGAGATTCAGCGAGGGAAAAGTCTAAAGTATTTAAGACTTTGTAGACATAATTCTCTTTTTTTTTTTATATCTTCTTCTTCCTCTCTCAGTTTGTTCTTTAGTATAATTAATCTTAATATAGGTTGTTTTGGCTACATGATGCATGCATGGATTAAACTGTATGACGTTATCATGTGTGACGTGTCGTAACTCATCATTCGTCAGCAGACTTTGTGGAATAAAACCCCATCTGATAATGAATCCCGTTATCTGTTATAGTGCATGCGATCTATCAAATATAATACTACTCGCGTTTAAAATATTCTGACACCGAACATATTTATAGTTTATTTTCTTGACGAAACGATAATTGTATATTTAACCACTGTAATCGTATTGGTAGCTAGGTTTGCAAATTTATCTATTTTTACACGGGCAATGGATCTAATTTGCTATATGGCTAGCCATCCAAACTGAATGATCAATTGCAATATCAAACAAAAGAACGTATTTGAACTGAACTCTATATATGTTTCATATAAACAAAAGAATGGTTAGAGACCAAAACGGATAAATTAGTCTCCTCCAAAACAAGTCTCGCGGTTGACTTCATCTAAAATTGTAAGTCATCACCCAACAAACTCGAAGCCACTCTCAAGTGTTCCTGACAACGCATTTAATACTGTTTTTTTATTACATATACGACAAATGGATATGCTATAGGATATGGCGGTAGGCATGACCACGGTTACGGTTAATGCGGTTATGGTTAATTAACCACCGGTTAACGGTTATAATTTTTTAACCATAACCTTAATCATTATATATACGGTTAAGACGGTTACGGTTATATACGGTTACGGTTAATTACGGTTACGGTTAAATACGGTTACGGTTATTTGATGATTATTATAATATTAATATTGGAGATAAAATTTTATGAAATATTATTTATTTTACAAGTAAAAAATATATCTGATTTCAATTATTTATAGTGAATTAGTTAAATCTGGGTATTGTATACAGTTATAATATAATTTATTTTAAAAATTTAAATATGCGGTTAACCGAGCGTTTAACCGTACGGTTAACCGACGATTAATTACGGTTAATTATGGTTACGGTTAATTAACGGTTACGGTTATTATTATTTTTTAACCGTAACTAATTTACTTTTACGGTTAACGGTTACAATTTTTAACCGTTTTATACGGTTACGGTCCGGTTACGGTTGATAAACGGTCCGGTTACGGTTAAAAATACGGTTAAGGTTAGCTTTTGGTCATGCCTATATGGCGGGTTATTTTCCATTTTGACTGCGAGCGAGTCTTGGAAAAAATATTACAATTTTTATTTTTGTAAAAAAGCTTATTCCCGTTTAAACTTAGAAAATCTTGAACTCACTACGTTAAAATTATGAAAACCTGATTAACATCATGCATGATTTTAGTTTCCCACCTAAAAATTGCTATAGCTTCTAACAGAGGTTATGAAAGAAAAAGAAAGATCTAATTAAAGAACAATTCTTATGGTTAATGGTTTAATTTGCAAACATACATTTCCACCATATATAATCGAGCCAATTAAGCGTAGTTAAAGTGATTCAACCGGCAGAACGCTTCTCAATGCTTAAACTAATAAAGTCATTTGCTTCGAAAAATGCTAATTATTTGAATTCAAATTCTCAATTGATATATGTCTGCCTCATTTTTCATTTTTAAGCGTATAATTTGGTATATTCCTCCCAATGATTTTCACAGCATAGCACCTACAAAATTAGTATGTACATCATTCTTGTTGCTTAGTCACTTCATAATCTTGTCAATTATTCGAGATATAGTTAGGTGAGTTGATTTATTAGTAATTGTTGGAAAGAAACTTGTGCCTGACGTGACGACGTTGCATATATATCCGAAAAAAGCTATAAATCATTAAAAGAAGTTGACCTAAAAAAGACCTACAACAAGTCTCTGGATACCAAAATTTCCATGAACTTCCACATCTTTATGTTAGCTCGTAATCCTCGTTCGCATCTCTGTCGTCAGATCATGCAGAGTCATGTGCGTGACATGATACTCCATGATCTCATAACACATCCAATCAATCTTCCACGGAAAACATATTATTTATATAGGCTTGTTGCCCTGAGCTAGTTTAGTATAATTGTCACTCGAAATTAGGAGTTCAGTGTGGTGAGTACACTAACTAATAGTCTAAAACTAAACTTAAGGATACGACTACTAAAACAGTTAGTATACAGGTCAAGGTACTAAGGTAGACTTTTCTTTTATAACAAACTCTATGATCAGTCTGAGATGGTGGAGAACACAATAATGACGAAAGAGTATTAATATCAGTTAAGACGATGGACCTACATTAATAAAGTGCCTTTGTAATTGGAAACAGAAGGGGTCCGATTTGATGAGATGGAACTGATTATGAATTTCGGCATTCTCGTGACATATTTAAATTTTGGATGCGGGTACGTAAAGTTGTGTCAGTCTGATTCAGATTAAGAGAGATACAGTTTAGGACTGAATATGAGATTTTTGTGGCAAAAGGAGAGACGGCTCATGCATCATCTGTTTGGTTTCTTAGCACCACCTGATGATACCGTCTAACTTGTAGTGCTAACCTCAGTGTGGCCTAGTGCTAGCCTATTGGATGGGATGGAGGATACCCACAACAGAAAGAGGATACTGTACTCGTTGCTCAACCAAATTGCTACAAAGCGAAGATGTTTTAAGCTCTGCTTTGGGTTCTAATGATTTGTAGTTTTAACCTCTGTCCGTACTAATATTGCATTCTCCAGTGTATGTATACAAAAGAATGCTTGATGTCATAATAGGACATATGCAACTGTTATCGATTCCAGTTTATGATAGATGAGAATATGGATAGCTCTTAAATCAAATCAAATCAATAAAGTTTGCTAATGAAAACAAAACCTAGATTCCAAATGCATATTAAAACCTTCTGTTTCCAAAATCAAACACAATGAGCAACCCTTCGTTAAAGGAGGAACGACACAATGGTGTCCTGTGTGACACATCAGATGGACTATTTTATTGATTGCATAACACAACAAAACTTTCTTTTTTATTGAACAAAACAATATTTACCTTTTTATGAATCGTTTCGAGGTCTTGAATCTAATTTTCCCCAATATGTTTCTTCCTTGCTCAATTGTATTCAGTGTTGTTACACATAAAAGGACACACTCATGCAAGTCACCATTTTCAGGAAGATCCTACTTGGTGTCCTTGATAGAACTACTGGTGTAACAATGCTTCCACAAGCTAGATAATTCAATTGAGAACTATGTGATTGAGGCCTTTTTTGTAAGCCTAAACCTGGTTCCTAGGATGCTTTTCCATAGATCCATTCCCCAACACAAACGGCATTCATTCCTGTATCTCTGTCAAACCACTGCAGTTGATTCCTTTAGAGACTTCAGAGATTTCACCTTATTACATACTCTGCTTAATGGGGGGTGCGATTGTTGTATAAAGTGATTTAAGACATATGAAAAGTACTGATGCTTATTAGATATCTCAAGGCTAATCTGTATACATAATCTTGTTTTATTGAGCAGAGAACGTAAAGAATCAACATAGAGCTTATAAGAAGATCTCTGAGCAATTCAAAAAGCTTTAAAGCTTGGAGATGAGAGAATGGTAAAAAGTAGCACGAGACAGGTAAGTGACTTTCATGGTCTCCTTGATCTTGAACTCCACAGTCACCACTGACAGATTCCTCCCAGTCCTCACCACCGATGCCTCCACCACCAATTCACTCTGAAAAATCTCATACAAATCAAGCTTCTCTGATTCGAAGAAGATCCAAAGAATCATAAAGAAACGAGAGATGAATAGCTTACCGAGATAGGGGCAGAAGAGAGATAAGACATACTCAATTCACCAAGGAAGAGATGTTTGTCTTCAGACACAACAGTTTTCACACAAGCCATAGCTACTCTCTCTGCAATTGATGCGACTGCTCCTCCATGTAACCCATTAAAGAAATTCTAATTTCACAACAAAACCAAATCAAAGATCGAAACTTTTAGGTATAAGAAACAAAAAAAAAAAAAAAAAAAGATGGAAACTTTACGAAACCCAATTGAAATAATTGAAAAGCAGAGAGAAGAACAAGAAGATTACGGATAATGCTGGCGTGACGACGAGGGAGCAAGAGACACGGCCGCGTGAGATGGAGAGAGCTCGTGTATTGCTTTGAAATAAGACGGAGAAAGAGTCGAATGAGGTGAAATCGTTGACAGATGAGTCAGGGGCGATAGCTTTGAAGAAATCAGCAACCATCAATACGTGATTTGGATCGATTTCTTTCGATACCGACGTCGCCTCGGACGAGACCGGAGGACACGGCATCGTCGTGTCTGTGCTTCCGCTCCCGGTTTCTCGGAACTTTTCCCAATTCATTTTCTTTTTTAACTTTTATCTGTTTTTTTTTCAAAATTAATTGATTATTTTTTTCGTAGAATGTTGAATTTCTCTCTTTTGTAATTAACTTTTTCCTATTTTTAGAAAACTAATAAACAGTAAGCAAAAATTAAGGTTAAAGTTAACTACAGCCACATTTTTTATTTTTGAGGCCGATCTACTAGTTTATTCACAATTTAAAACAAAAAAAAAAAAGTAAAAAATCTAATCAATTGGTTTTTAATATTTTTTTGGGAATTTAAGGAAAATCAGTTGGTAAAAAAACTAATTTAAATATGAGCATCTTGCTTACACTATGGTGATATGATACACTAAATTATATTAGTTATTTAGTTATGTATATATATATATATTATGTTTATTTTTACAATGATATTAGATATATCAACTTTTATTTTAGTTACAAAGTCCGTTTTTGATTTCGTTTTTATTTTAGTGAATTTAAATCAGAACTTTTAATGGGTTTTGTAGATATGCTGTAGTTACTGGAGGAATTAAACAGAGGAATCGGATTTGAGATATGCAGACAATTAGCGAGTGAAGGGATTAAAGTTGTTTTTGACCTCTAGAGATAAGTAAAGAGGACTTGTAGCCGTTGAGACACTTAAGAAAGAGCTTAAAATTTCTGATCAGAGCATTGTCTGAAATCAGCTTGATGTCTCTGATCCTGCTAGTATCACATCTCTTGCTGAGTTTGGGAAACTCGATATCTTGGTAAGATGAGTAAACTGGTCTCTTTGATCAGTTTAAGTCTTAAATTCTACAATTTCAAGCCTGGATTTGACTAGAAGCTAGTGCCTTGTGTGATTTATCATAGACATAGTGGAGTCGTTTAGGTATCTCTTGTTCCTGTCCTGTACCATTTCTGTGTTAATGTTTAATGATATTTTGATTGCTTTACAGGTCAATAATGCAGGGGTTGGTGGTATAATCACTGATGCTGATGCTCTAAGAGCTGAGGCAGGGAAAGTATGAAAATCGTCGTGTTTATCTTGCAGCCAAAGTTTTATGCTCTGCTACAAATTGCATCTAAAACATTTACTTGTAAACTTGAATAAAATATACTTTACAAATACAGAATAAAATATGCAGTTCCATAAAGAAAGGAACAAAAACAGAATTTGCATCTACTTCATTGCTTTACTTAAGAAAACGTTGGCTCTTTTTATCAATTTAATGATTATGTATTTCACAAAGGAACTCTCCCTAGTCCCGGGTTAACTTACGAGGACTCATGTTCTTCACCTGCAGCTGCATCAGAAGTTTCTTCTTCTGTGGGGTTATTAGCTTCATCTTCGTCTTTGGGTTCGGCTTTGTCTTCCTCAGCCCCCGAGCGACGGTGGTTAGCTGCGGCTTGGAGGACATGACTGTAGTTACCTTTCTCGAGGAAAAGCTGGCTGAAGTGGACTTTGCAGTAAAGGATGCCATCGAGAGCAGCATATGAAGAGTGTGTTAATGGACAACCACTGTGTGCACATCTGAAGCAAGTCTTGTGGTAAGACTCTCCTTCCATTGTCATCTTCTCCAGAGGGTAGACTGTTTTCTTACAAGCTGCACATTTGTCTTGTGTTCCGCTAAAGAAGGAAGATAACCTGTTTGGAGCCCTCGACTTTGGAGATAGATCACACAACCAAGAAGTCTAGATTAGAAAACATTGAAGACACGACAAAAATAAGAGAAAACAAAGGAATTGTGTTCATACCGTTTCATTCGATTTTTCGGTCTTTCCTGCTGTAAAAGAGACAACAGCCAAAGATTGTTAGATTTTTCAACAAAAGGATTAAAGGAACAGAGCTAAAAAAACAGAGGATTTAATAAAAACCTGTTTGAAAATTCTTGCTGAAGTTTCCAGATTCCTTGAAGAGCTGTTCAAAATGGGTCTTGCAATACAAAACTCCATCCATGGATGAATAGTTACATATCTGTAAAAGACAAAGAAACAATTTTCATTTTATGTGTTTTCACAGAAACAAAAGAGGGACAATGGAGACAGAAGAAAGATAGAGCAGATACCACGAGGGTGCCATTGCAATGGCTGCACCTGAAGCATGACTTGTGATAAGGCATTCCTTCCAATGTCATCAAGTCCATAACGTATACCGTCTTGTCACACGCCTTGCATTTGTCTAGAGTCCCTGTAAACGCCATTGTTTTCCAAGTTTTTCTTCTTCTTTTTTTTTTCCCCTCTATGAGCTCTCTGCCATTTTATTATATCACAAATCTAGGGGTCAAAATTTTTGTTCTGATGGTTGAGATTCGAGTGAGGAGAACCCTTAAAAAATGTTAAATCATCTATATTCTACTATAATCTAATTCTGGCTTAGCATGGGAACACACGAAAATACGCTATTATCAAAAATGAAAAACACTATTTACACCGATTAAGTGCTTATATATATATTTTAGGGCATCTCCAAAGGTAGTATTTAAACTACATTTTTAGAGACTAAAAATTTAAAAAATATTAGTAAAACATGAAAGAGAAAATTATAGGTTTCTATATTAGAGATTTTGGAACCTTATTATGAATTCCTAATCACACTTGTCACTTTATTATTTGCTTAGTTGTATTTAAATAATAGAATATAAATATATAAGTTAAAATTTACCAAAAAATAAAATAAAATATATAAGTTAAAATATTAATATACTTTTTTTTTTAGAATCTCTCACCATCTCTCACCGTTGGAGATGGTCTTATAACCTTTCTGATTTTGATATGTTATGAACACAATTATATGAAGATCCTTATACAAAATGGGTAACATAACAAAACTGCCTTTCAACCATCATACTTACCCATCGGTTGAAAATCGTATTTTTTGTGTAACTAGAAAATCACTTATCAGAACTCACGAGAAATTGAAAACGGTAAAGAATAGGGGTCATATTTTGCAAAGCAATAAAACATGGGGTGAATACTGTATATAAATAACTTCTTTATCCACAAAAAGGTGAGGACCTATATTAAAAGGAAAATATGGGTTATTAATGTAAAGAATAGAAACATCAAGGGTCATATGGATAAATAACCGATAATAAAGCGAGAGAGTCTCTCTGAAAGAAAGAGGAGACAATCCATTGACGCCCTAAGCAAAAGAAAAACAAAAAAAAAGACGCCGGCGAGTGTATTCGTCACTTTCCTTGTAACCGAACCACTCAAATTTTTTCCCGAGAAAATTTTTCTTCTTCTCTCTCTCTGTCTCTCGTTTCACGCTTTCTCTTCTTCGGATTTGTGTAATATCATTCGGAACTCTCGATTCGTTTTCTTCTTCCGTTTCATTTTTTTGTTTTCTGGCGGACCGGTTTGTGGTTTTATTTGAGCATTCCCGATCTTGCCTAGAGTTCCACGATCAGTTTCTCTAAACCCTAGGTTTTGAACGAGCATTCTCTTCCTCTCTTTCTTCTCTTAACTCCCAGATTATTGCAGATTCTTTGTAGTTTTTTTGTAAACGATAGATTTAGGGTTTGTCTGTGCCTAGTTTTCGAGATCGAGAAAGATTTGCGATGAATAACAGAGGAAGGTATCCACCGGGGGTTGGAACCGGACGTGGTGCGCCGCCGAATCCAGATTATCATCAGTCTTATCGGCAGCAACAACCTCAAGATCAGCAGTATGTTCAGCGCGGCTATCCGCAGAACCCTCAGCAGATGCAACTGCAACAACAACAACAACATCAACAGCAACAGTGGTCAAGACGCCCTCAGCTTCCTGGAAACGCCAGTAACGCTAATGAGCTTCAGAAGACGTCTCAGTCCGAAGCTAGCAGCGGCGACCCTAAGTAAGTTCTTGCTCTTGAATACAAGTAGTGAATACGTTTTGTTTTGCAAATGACGATGCTGGATTGCTTGTTATGAATGGATTTGGTTTGCAGTGTGTAATGATTTGTGCTGTTAAATGATGCTGGAGTGGTCTGTGTAATGATTTGGTTTGATTTGAAGTGAAGTTGTATCTCTCTTGTGCTCATGGATTCTCTGTTCTCTGTTTCTCTCAGTGGCCAAGATTGGAAGGCAACTTTAAGGCTCCCACCTCCTGACACACGTTATCAGACAGCGGTATAGCTTGACTACTTTCTTCAGAGTTTTTTTCTCTCTTATAGTGATTATGAATCTTGAGGATTGTTGTTCTTTTTCAGCAACATGGAATGAATGCTTTCTCGATAAATGATAGTTCGTGATGAACATTGTCTTTGATATTGTCTGCAGGATGTGACAGCTACGAAAGGAAATGAATTCGAAGATTACTTTCTGAAAAGAGATCTGTTAAAAGGAATATATGAGAAGGGTTTTGAGAAGCCATCTCCAATTCAAGAAGAGAGCATTCCAATTGCTTTAACTGGTAGTGATATTCTTGCTAGAGCCAAAAACGGTACAGGAAAGACTGGTGCCTTCTGCATTCCAGTTCTTGAGAAAATCGATCCAAATAACAATGTGATTCAAGGTATGTATTCTGCTTTCCTTTTAAAACTTTTCTCTGCTTGAGACCAATGATTGGGTTCTTTTTATATTTGTGAAATAATAGTTACTAACTAACTGTGTTTGTCTTGCACCACTTGTTGTTCCTTCTTATTATGCAGCCATGATTCTAGTCCCAACGCGAGAACTGGCCCTTCAGACATCACAGGTTTGCAAGGAGCTTTCCAAATATTTGAATATCCAGGTAATGGTCACCACTGGCGGTACCAGTCTGAGAGATGATATCATGCGACTACATCAACCTGTACATCTGCTGGTTGGAACTCCGGGAAGAATATTGGATCTTACAAAAAAGGGTGTGTGTGTTTTGAAAGACTGTGCAATGCTTGTCATGGATGAGGTGAGCTCCTGGCTTTTTCTAATATTTTGATCACAACTCTATCTTCCTTGGTGATATGGCTCTGTGAAGATTCAACAAAATTTATACCATAACTGTTAACAGTCATTTACCCCTTAGTGCATTTTTAAGTTCTTTCTTCTATTCCTATGTCTACCTGATTTTGATTTTGATTTTGTTTTATTGCGTCATAAGCTTCAATGTTTCTGACTCCTTACAAATGATTTTTACCAGGCCGACAAGCTTCTGTCTGCAGAATTCCAACCTTCTCTAGAGGAATTGATACAGTTTCTACCACAAAATCGTCAATTTTTGATGTTTTCCGCCACATTTCCTGTCACTGTCAAGGCTTTTAAGGATCGACATCTCCGGAAACCCTATGTTATCAATCTCATGGATCAACTCACGCTTATGGGTGTCACACAATATTATGCCTTTGTTGAAGAAAGACAGAAGGTTCACTGCCTCAACACACTTTTCTCTAAGGTCAGATGTCTAGACATATCCCTGTAACTACATAAGTATTTGGCACTTGATTTTGGATTTTCTAAACTAGTTATGGTTTTTTTAAAATCCCAGCTGCAAATAAATCAATCGATAATCTTTTGCAACTCTGTCAATCGAGTGGAGCTATTGGCTAAGAAAATTACAGAACTTGGTTATTCATGCTTCTACATTCATGCGAAGATGGTTCAAGACCATAGAAACAGAGTTTTCCACGAGTTCCGCAATGGTGCTTGCAGGAATCTCGTTTGCACTGGTATGCTATGTTTGTTCAAGCATGTATTTTAAACAATGATCAAGTGTGTAGTTGGTAATGATGATGATGATATGACTTAATGTGAAATGACTGGTGCAGATCTGTTTACTCGTGGAATAGACATTCAAGCTGTGAATGTAGTGATCAACTTTGATTTTCCTAGGACTTCTGAGTCGTATCTACACAGGGTATGTTAAGAACAAAATTGGTTTATGATCTAGCATGTCCTAAGTAGATCCTCATTGTTCTTAATTCATATTGTGACATGCGCAGGTAGGCCGATCAGGACGGTTTGGACACCTAGGATTGGCTGTGAATCTGGTAACATACGAGGACCGCTTCAAAATGTATGTCTAACCTTCTTTTTACTGTTCTAACTGGATTTTTGTGTGTGTTAGGTTATAGTTTTCTTAGTCATTTATCATTTTTTGTTTTTGTTTTTGAAAACAGGTATCAGACTGAGCAAGAACTTGGGACTGAAATCAAGCCAATTCCATCTAATATCGATCAGGCAATCTACTGTCAGTAAACTATGTAACCGTGCATGAAACGTTTCTCCACCCGAAGAAAGACGCTGGTTGATTAAAATGGTAAGATAAAACTCTGCTCTTAGCTTGTCAAAGCAAAAATTAAAGTAGGAAAAAAGCTGGAGTGCATATTTAAGAGCAATGTGCCGAACGTTTCAGGTGTTTCCGAAGCTTTAGATGGGGGAGGAGATGAGGCAACAAGTACTTGGCGGTTCATGTAAAAAAGACTCGTTACAGAGTGGTTTGGTTCTTAATCTCTTTCTAGACTTTTTATGTTTCCTGGTTATATGAAACCTTTTGGACGTAGCACTTACGACGATGACTCCCCTCTCTGACTTGGTTAGTAATAAAGAATAGAACGTATGAGACTCTCTCGTCGCTGTTTTGTTTTCGGGTTGGGCTTTGTTTGGAATCACGGCCTTGGCCCATGTAGGATTTTTATATCATGAAATTTGAACTTCTTTATTTTTATTTTATTTTTTACTTTTGAGAAAGAGTGATTTTTAAGTTTTCCAAAAGAATTTCTTCCACATGATAGTATATAGTGTATTTATAGTTTTGGTTGGTAATTCACGCCGTGGAAACACGATTTGGTTCACGAAATTTTATGTCTAATTGTACAACAAAAGGGTATATATTCTTCAGTAATGTGTGTAACTGTTGGCAATCTTGTTATCTAGTGGAGATGAAGAAAATGAAATATGTGAATCATGTAAAATCAGAATCATCTGTGGAGATCGTTTCTCTTACATGATGAAATAGATATGGTATCATTTAATTCTTTCATGAAAATAAACATAGATGAAACATATGTAGCAGAAAAAAAAAGAAGGGAAGGGAAGGGTTTGACTTGTAGCTGACCACATTTACTGATGATATATATGAATGAGGGGACCCCAGTCATTGTCTGCAAAGGTCTCTTCTTACACAAAACAGTAAGTGTATCTTTTTTTCTTTTCTTCTCCTCTCTTTTTACTTTGACTCTTTATGATCCCTAAGCCTATGACATATGGCGTGTCCTCTTTCTATTGGATTGTTTCATGACTCTTGTCATTTAATTTTCTTAATAAGAAAACAAGTAATAGTGAAGTTTGGAGTAAAAACCACAGCACAGAAACTTCGACAA